TCACTCCCCACCTCCCTCTCTCTCTCACTGCTCAATGCTACTCGCTTTAAACCATAAAATATAACTACTCCTTAAATAAGTGACTATGACTAAAATGTGTCACTTTATCTCAGTATCGAAAATAATTTTATGAGAAGCAATATCACGAGTCAGAGGCTCGTCGGCTCCAAATAATTATCAAGAAACATCAAACGAGATATGGAAAAAAATGCAAAATTTCACTCAAATTATTAATAAACATATTAATGTTCTCTTGATGGTTTGATGGCTGAAAAGGTGAAGGTTCTGAGTGTGTGTGTGTGTGTGTGTGTGTGTGTGTGTGTGTGTGTGTGTGTGTGTGTGTGTGTGTGTGTGAGGAATTATCTAAAAAAAGAAATAGTATCTGTTTTATGTTTCTTTTCAAGGCTGGAAGCCAGACGCTTGAGTCTAACCTCATCTAACTTTTCACGATGACTGCCATAGGGTACATGACCAACATGGTTGGATTTTGGGCGGCTCCATTGCTCCCATTAAAAAGGCAATCGACTCCCATGGTGACCCCATTCGAAATTGTTGAAATGTAGTTGGCAAAGTCCATGAAATTTATTAAATATCTAGACTTCACACCACCATGAAACAGGGAACATATAGAGCAAAAACAGTCATACTCACGTCGGAGTCTGCCCCATGACACAACCTGAGCTAAATTATCAACATATATATAACCGAAACCAACAAACACAAAGAAGAAACAAGAGGGAAACAAGGGACAAAGATCACAGAGGGCGCCTGTGGGTCCCACCGCGGTAAACTAACATGCAAGTTATCAAAAGAAAAAAGCCCATTGTCTCCGCCTCACGTTATCAGCGTCTGTCATTTTCTGATATTTCAGACCCCAGGAACTCCCACTTGAGGAGTCGTCAGTGTCTTGTGTCTGGGGTCTCAACACCTTGGGGCGCCAGGCCCCTACTTACACTAGAAAATTATTGGTCGTTAGCAGCTGTGTGTTGTGTAACTGTTAATATTTACAGTATCTTCTTGAGGTTATCTTGAGATGATTTCGGGGCTTTAGTGTCCCCGCTGCCCGGTCCTCGACCAGGCCTCCAACCCCAGGAAGCAGCCCGTGACAGCTGACTAACACCCAGGTACCTATTTTACTGCTAGGTAACAGGGGCATAGGGTGAAAGAAACTCTGCTCATTGTTTCTCGCCGGCGCCTGGGATCGAACCCAGGACCACAGGATCACAAGTCCAGCGTGCTGTCCACTCGGCCGACCGGTTCCCATTCGTAAAGGTACAATGCAATCACAGACAACACCAAGACTATTCAGTGCGGGTCGAACCCGATGTGCATGTTTTGAGTATGGGAATACAATGTGTGGAACTGGAAAGCCTGTCCATGGCTACGTGAGGACAGTCTATCCCAGACTGTGTTGAGTGTGGTCTCCCCCATCCAGTTACTGACCAGAACCAACGTTGATTAACCTGAGAGGACACGTTCATGAGTTTCTGGTGATATTTGTGTGTGTGTCTCACCATGTGACTGTTGTTCGAACGCCTTTGCCAACCACCTGTTGCGTTGGGAGATGAGATTGCGATGCAATACCTAGTCAATTCGCAACTGGTAAGGGGGGGGGGGGGAAGGGAAGGAGAGAGAGATAAAGCGAGTAAGGGAAAAGGGGGTGGGGAAGTGGGAGGTAGAGTGAGACCCGGGCGCAGCCGGGTACGCCCTCTCCTCCTTTAGTTCTTCTACATTCAAGACGCTATGTAGCTACCGAGTATGTAAATGAGGTAACAACATACCACATGAGTATGTGGAAGACATGTTCTAATATTCATTAGTTATCTATAATTTGATTTTTCAAAACTGTAACATGTGTACAGTGTGTGTGTGTGTGTGTGTGTGTGTGTGTGTGTGTGTGTGTGTGTGTGTGTGTGTGTGTGTGTGTGTGTGTGTACTCACCTAGTTGTGCTTGCGGGGGTTGAGAGCCTATTGGGCTCTATCTACAACACACACACACACACAGACGTGTGTGTGTGTGTGTGTGTGTGTGTGTGTGTGTGTGTGTGTGTGTGTGTGTGTGTGTGTGTGTGTGTGTGTGTGTGTGTGTGTGTGTGTAAAGAGGGTTGAGGTGAAGGGGAGCACACCAACACACTAATGGGACTATAATGGACGACCCTTATATCAACTCAACAACCAACTCTCAGCTCAGCGTGAATTAAGGGGCCTGGATTGGGTGAGATAAGTGGGGGGGGGGGGATGGTCAGGCAGGGGTATCGATCGAGTCTCTTTGTTCCAGAGGTTGCCACCCACAACCCAACCCAACCACACCCCCAACTCCACCCGAAACCTAACTACCACCCCAACCCCCCCAAACCCCCCTTCCCCCTCCCTTCCTTCTACACATCATTAATCAACCAGAAACTTTGACGCCTTAAAACGTTACGCAAACGTTTGGGCACACACACACACACACACACACACACACACACACACACACACACACACACACACACACACACACACACACACACACACATAATCTTGTTGGCGTGGGTTATACTTTGTAGAGTAGTATTCTGAGTGTGTGTGTGTGTGTGTGTGTGTGTGTGTGTGTGTGTGTGTGTGTGTGTGTGTGTGTGTGTGTGTGTGTGTGTGTGTGTGTGTGTGTGTGTGTGTGTGTGTGTGTGTGTGTGTGTGTGTGTGTGTGTGTGTGTGTGTGTGTGTGTGTGTGTGTTCTTTAATTGTTCTTGAATGCATGTTGGGCTGTTCTCTATTGTTATCATGGTGTTCTTTTAATTGTTGCTGCTGTGCTGTTCTTTAATTATTACTGGGCTGTTCTCTAATAGTTATGTCATTCTTGATTTGTTATGCACTGTTTTTAATTATAATATTATTCTTTAATTGCTATTTTATTGTTATGTTCTTTTTTGCATCTGAATTCTAACTGTTGTATTGTTCTTAAATGTTTCTAATTTGTGTATTGTTGCTACTGCAACACAAAGCCTTTGAGGAGATTCAAATACAACAGAAGGGGGTCTCTATGTCAAGAGGTATTGTATGAGGAAGCTGAAATACTGCATATACTCTATTAATGCTGTATTTTCTTATACCATGTATTTAAATGCATTTCCTAATAAGCTCAGTCGATTAAGGCAGCGTCTGGGATGGATGTAGGTTCGAACCCTCGTGGATTTGTTCATATACTGAGATTATAATCTCAGCCCAAGGCCTCTCCAGAGATAAGCTTTCCACGCAGCCTTCTCTAAAATCATATTTTTTTCGCAATCTGTATATTTTCAACCTTTCAGAATTTTGTAATATTTTTGTTTGCAATTCAACGAATCTATAGAAGAAATGTCCTTTCTCTAGTTCTAGTATATTAGGCTGCAACATACAGTATACTAAACTCTTTCATACATCATACTAACCTGTCACATTCGGGATAGTAACGTGGAACATACAGTATACTAAGCTATAACATTCAGTATACTGAATTGCAACGTGCAGTATACTGAACTCTCACATAACCGTATAATAAGGTGTCACATACAGTATACTAACCTACGCATACACATTTCCCCGGGTAATTATTCATACAGATACGTAATACAAATGTCTGTATTACGACATAATAAAACAGTGTTAACAAACATCGCTTCTCTGTTTTAAAATGGAGTTGAACAGATTTTTTCATTTATTTTTTTCCCCGGACTGTTTATTCAAGAGAAAAAACAAACGAAGTTTTTTCTATACAATTTGTTTACGAGTTAAAATTACTAGACTTTTCTGTTTCATTCACCTGGGTACAAGGAGCCTCGAACCACGGTCACTGTTTCACATCAACAGTGAACTTTAGTTATTAGTTATAATTATAACTATAAGTTATAACGTTATAAGTTATAGTTATAAGTTTAGCTTTAATTATAAAGCTGCCAACCTTCCCAGTAGCTCAAGGAAATTTGAACAAGAAGGCATTCCGGAAATTGAACTCTGAGCTCGGAGCGAAATAAGAAACGATTTAGAGATGCGACACAAGACTGGTCCCAGAACTGGCAGGGTTGACATACGAGGACAGACTGAACGAACAGTATCTGAATACATTATACAAAAGACTTGGAAAGAAAATCTGACTATTGAAAGACATAAGAGCGTCGATTAAGGAGATACAGATATCTTAGTTGAATAACAGCAGAACAAGAGGTAAAAGATTGAAGCTAAAAACACATTTGATCCTGAGGAAAGAAGGAATTATCAGGGAAAAGCGCCAAAACATTACGACTATAGCACTCTGAAGGGGGATCAGGATAAGGATTTGGGATGGGACGGGGAGGGAAGGAATGGTACCCAACCTCATGGACGGTCGGGGATTGAACACCGACCTGCATGAAGCGAGACCGTCGCCCTACCGTCCACTCCAAGTGATGAACCACAGGAATGTGATTTGACATTGAGGGATAGGGTAGTGCGAGCTTGGAGTGGAGGAGAAGGGAAGATAAACAATCTAGTGGGTTGATTGCATTGACATTGACATTGAATTTGACGACTAACACTTGAAAATACCAGGGCCAAAAAATTGGCACTCATTCCTTCAGGCACAATTAGGTGAGAACATTGGATTAATATAGACAATATTGCAGACGAGGAGTCACAATAACGTGGCTGAAGTATGTTGACCAAACCACACACTAGAAAGTGAAGGGACGACGACGTTTCGCTCCGTCCTGGACCATTCTCAATCGACTTGAGAATGGTCCAGGACGGACCGAAACGTCGTCGTCCCTTCACTTTCTAGTGTGTGGTCTCGTCAACATAGACAATCTTCCTTTTTATCCCCCAGGATGCCCACCTTACATATCGTATAATTAGACAAAACAAATATGTAAATACTGAGAAAGAAAGGATAAGAGTTGTGGAAATAGAGGAATATTACAATGAATGAGAAATAAATGTACTTTCCATTGCTTTACAAATGCATTTTTTTCTTATATGTGCTTTCCTTTTTTCTTTGACTCCCACAGATGGCATGCGGTGCCCTGGCTCTCAGAGTGTGAGCCCGTCTGGCACTCCCGCCACAGTGCCATGGATGGTTACTCACCATGCGCAGAAGGTAAGCTGAGTGGAGGCGCAGGTAAACTTAATTAACTAGATCACCTGAAGGCAGGAGCAGGTGGGCTCAAACAGGATATCTGTTGAACGGCAGGTTATGATAACCCAGACTTGCTGGTGGTTTAGAGAGGCGGGCTTTGTCCTGCTGATTGTACAGGACCTGAAGGTGGTTAGTGACTTGTATTGTTGCAACTATTGTACAGGACCTGAAGGTGGTTAGTGACTTGCATTGTTGCAACTATTGTACTGGACCTGAAGGTGGTTAATGACTTGTATTGTTGCAACTATTGTACAGGACCTGAAGGTGGTTAGTGACTTGTATTGTTGCAACTATTGTACAGGACCTGAAGGTGGTTAGTAACTTGCATTGTTGCAATTATTGTACAGGACCTGAAGGTGGGTAGAGATGTGCTTTGATTTTATTATTCTACAGGACCTAAAAACGAGTTTAAAGCTGTGCCAACTATGGACATGTGGTGAAAAAGTAAGCTTACTTAAGCTGGCGAAGACCAATCCGAAGATTACCATTGTTATTGGCTTACTGCACATAGACTCGAGAGTAATTACCACATTGGCCAATTAATTTGAAGTAGATTAAGGTAAACTCGCGTGTTATTACTGCTTAGGTAAGCTTCATTAAGGTAGATCAAGCTCATAATCACATTTGATTATTTAATAAGGTAAACTTCGTTTTAATTATGCTTAATTAGGACCGCTGAAGGTATCACACAAATAGATGAAATGAGGGAAGTTCTTTCATCATATGTATCTTAGTATACATTATATGTAGGTAGATTTAGTATACATTATATGTAGGTAGATTTAATATTCATAAATAGGCTGACTTTATGCGTATGTGAAAATTGGTTTAATGATAATTGTAAACATATTTATGAACATAATATATAATTGTATATAATAATATTCCAAATTATAATCTATTAGTCAACAAATATAATCTATTAGTCACTATATATGTAATCTATTAGTTAATGAATATTCTGTATACCTAAATAAAATAAATATTTTGTAGTTCAAAATATCTGAGGGTTAAACATTTAAATATATATAAATGAATTTGTAATTATCAATATTAACTCAGAACTCAATTATTTTTTGGTACAATCATAGCCAACAAATAAATGTATAAATGAGTTTAATTATTTGGCAAGCAAAAAAAAAAAAGAGATTGTTATGGCATGTTATAAAATTATGATTAAAACAGCTATATATATTAATCATTACAAGATTGATTTAATAATTTAAAACTATTTACTTTAGTACATTGAATAGTAAAAGTTATTTATTTTCATTATTTGGGGTTTAAAAACTCTTGGAGATTGAAGAAATAAATAAAAACCCACAATAGCTCAAGACTACTTTTGTGTGCTTTTGTGTCATATTGTTATCAGTCATGTGAGTGACTTTAACATTTCAATAAAATTCTCTGGAACTTTTAACACGCTTGCAACATTAAACAAAATTCACGTAATATTTTAAACAGTGAACCATTTCGGGGGTTTAAAAACAATTATTCTCGAAAATGATACCGAAGTGTGTAAACTTGTTTCCCAAAAAAATTTTCAATATTAAACTAACTCTTGGAGTATGTACCCAAATATTGCAATGAACGAAAAAGTTTCACATTTTTGTGAAAATTCCTGAAACTGCAAATTTCTTGAACATTCATAAACTTCTAAAAAAAAATTTAATAGGCTGCCTTAAACGTTAATGAAATTCTTAAAATTAAAGTGTATTACAAAAATCTTTAAGAAAACTACTGAAGCTTTCAAAGAAAATATTAATGCTTGAGACATATACCTCGAGTAATTGACAGATTCCAAACAATTTAAAAGAAATGATTGAAATAAAATTACCTACCAAAAAGAAAAACATGAAAAATTACCCCCCAATTAGCCAATTACCCCAAAAAATTACCCTCTCCCTCCCTCAAAAAAAAAAAATTGAAAAACTAAGATGCCAATGTGCTTGTGTTGATACTATCCCTTTAAAGCCTTGACCAGGGATAGGTGAAGGAAAACCTAAAGGTCAGGTAACCACAGAGGCATGCAATATCCAGGTCAGTTCCTGTCCTCAGGCTCAGTCTAACGTTTGCATCGGTCAATTGTTGGTCGTTAGAGGCGTTCTTTGACGTGATTGGTGGTGCACGAGACAAGGAGGTGGTTGAAGGTGGTTGTTAGTGGGGTTGTTGTTTAGGTTTTGAACTTACAATCAGTCGAAAAGCAACGCTCTAAGTTCAGTGTCATTGAGATGTCGTCACGTTCTTAAAGTTTTGTTGCTTTACCTGTCTTCTCTCTCTCTCTCTCTCTCTCTCTCTCTCTCTCTCTCTCTCTCTCTCTCTCTCTCTCTCTCTCTCTCTCTCTCTCTCTCTCTCTCTCTCTCTCTCTCTCTCTCTCTCTCTCTCTCTCTCTCTCTCTGTCATCATTATCTCTTTGATCTTGTTCCAGCAGACTCTTCTGCTTGTACGTATGTGATGTCTGTGTGTCTGTGTTAATTACCTATATTTAGGCTTATCGAGGTCTCCCCCCCCCCTTGATAGCTGATTAGCTGATTAGCTGATTGTTTATTGGTTGATTGGCTGATTGGTTGAGTGGATGTCTCTGCCTAAGCATCATCATCTTTGTCATCTCAGTCATTCATTCAGCATCACCATCGTTGAGATGAGATGAGAAAAATGAATGAGAGGTTGAAAGTGGAGTTATGTGAAGAGGAAGTGAGAGAGGAGAGAACGATAACGGTGTGAGAGGGAGAAGGGGAAGAATGAGAGAGGGGAGAGAAATGACTCGAGGGTGAAAATCTGACAAGGGAAAGATTAGAGAATGGGAGATGTACCAGAGCAAGAATTAAGTGGAAGCAAGCAAATGATTCACGTAAGAAGAGGTAAGCTTAAGAATGGTGGGAATGGAAAGGGATGGAGAGAGAGAGAGGGGGAAGGGAGGAAATTATTAGGGGAAAGCGCCAAGCACATACGACTATATATAGCACTGGAAAGAGGGGGGTCAGGATTAGGATTTAGGATGGGATGGTGGAGAAAGTAATGATGCCCAACCACTTGTGGACGGTCGGGGGATTGAACGCCGACCTGCATGACGCGAGACCGTCGCTCTACCATCCACCCCCCAAGTGGTTGGAAGGGGGGAATAAATCTAGATAACAAACAAGATAACAAAAATACTGGAGAGGTAAAGAGAAAGGAAACAGAACATAACACAATGAGACAGATATTAGCATGATGCTGGAGAGAGAGAAGCTTAGCATTACACAAGGATGAGAGCGAAGCAAGAGCCAGAAGTGGGAGGGAGAAAGATCAAATAGAAGGACAGGAGAGTGAGGGAGGAGGAATCAAACGTAGAAGAGAAAGAGACAAAGGGGAAAAGGGTGTGTAGAAAAAAAATAGAGTAATTTCCTTAAATGAAGAGAGGCCAGAACGAGACTAGATTAACAGGTGAGAATAACGTAGACATGGAAAAGCATATAGAGAGAAAAGAGAAGATTGAGAGACTCCAGGGAGAGAAGGGGACAATAAGAGTAAAGAAGGGAACAGGGAGAAGAGGTTAAATCTAAGAGGTAATTACAACTGGAAAAATCCTAACAAATGGGGGTAAGCCCTGGGAACACTATCATGTTGTGTTCAGACGCGTGGGAGAGGTGGGAGGAGGAGAGTGGGAGAGGCGGAGTGGGAGAGGGGACGGGGAGTGTGAGAGGCAGAGATTAGGCCTCTGTTCTGCAAGAATGTCCAATGCCAGGGAGATTGGCTTGCTCGAACATTGTGGTGTTGGGACTTGGTAATGTTGACATTTAGAAATGCTGTGGTGGTGCTGGGGTGCTGTGGTGGGGGTGCTGTGGTGGGGGTGCTGGGGTGCTGTGGCGGTGGTGCTGGGGTGCTGTGGTGCTGGGGTGCTGTGGTGGTGGTGCTGGGGTGCTGTGGTGGTGGTGCTGGGGTGCTGTGGTGGTGGTGCTGGGGTGCTGTGGTGGTGGTGCTGGGGTGCTGTGGTGGTGGTGCTGGGGTGCTGTGGTGGTGGTGCTGGGGTGCTGTGGTGGTGGTGCTGGGGTGCTGTGGTGGTGGTGCTGGGGTGCTGTGGTGGTGGCGCTGGGGTGCTGTGGTGGTGGTGCTGGGGTGCAGTGGTGGTGGTGCTGGGGTGCTGTGGTGGTGGTGCTGGGGTGCTGTGGTGGTGGTGCTGGGGTGCTGTGGTGGTGGTGCTGGGGTGCTGTGGTGGTGGTGCTGGGGTGCTGTGGTGGTGGTGCTGGGGTGCAGTGGTGGTGGTGCTGGGGTGCAGTGGTGGTGGTGCTGGGGTGCTGTGGTGGTGGTGCTGGGGTGCGGCGGTGGTGGTGCTGGGGTGCTGTGGTGGTGGTGCTGGGGTGCAGTGGTGGTACAGGGTTGCTATGGTGGTGGGATCCATAATTTAAAGCGAGATCAAAGATTCAATGCTCGATCCTGCAGACTTGGTGAGTTCACACACACACACACACACACACACACACACACACACACACACACACACACACACACACACACACACACACACACACACACACACACGAAACATTTAAAAGTTTTGTCATTCCTCTCCCCCTCCCCTAATCCCCCCCCCCAACCCCATACGACCGATCCCCTCCCCCCCCCATACACACTAATTAAAATACCCAGATTAATTAATTACCGAGCCGATGGAAACATTTGCGAAGTGAGCACACAAGCCGTCAAATTAAGAGAAGAATTCGTACCAACGAGGCAATTAACGATCGTGCCAACGTCTTCCATTGGCGATAAAAACAGCTCTCAAGGAGGGAAGAGAAGACTTGAAAATTTCTTCCAGAGACTCAGCCTGGTAACAATGTCAACAAAGTATTTAGAGTCAAAAAGGCTTTTTTTTGATGGCCTGTTATTTCCTTCTCCGAGTCTATAGCACCTGATATATATATATATATATATATATATATATATATATATATATATATATATATATATATATATATATATATATATATATATATATATATATATATATATATATATATATATATATATATATTTTAAGGATTTGTTGGTTGTAGTGTGACGGTGTTCAGTGTGACTTTGAAGATAATTGGGTTTGCTAACTTTTCTTCCGTATCTGATTGCAATTTAGGATTTTTTAATTTAAGAATCGTTTCATTTTCTTGTCTTGAAAGAAGTTTTTGAAGTCTTCGGGTGGAATATCACCTGTATTGGTATTGTCGAGAATGTGTGGGGAAGGGGGATATATTTTTTTAATGTTTCAGTGATGTTAGCAAGAGTAATACTTACGTTATCAATTGTGACATTATCAAGGATACCAGTGACTTCATCAAGTGTGGCTATGACGTTATCAGGTGTGACGGAAATGATATCAACGGTGCCAGTAGCGTTATCAAGCGTGCCATTGACGTTATCAAGGGTGACAGTGACGTTACCATGAGTGATTCAGTAGCGTACCTGTTCTCCAAGAGACAAACGAAGCCAGGAGATGAAAAACATAAATGGATTCGACGAATGACATTTTATTTATAGGTAAAAAAAAAACATTATCAGAATGCCTTTGTCGCTTGATGATTGATGTTCGTGAGACAATCGTCGCTCGGGAAATATTAAAGATATCTTTTTTACGATATAAACTTTCTTGTTTATAAAAAATGGAGAAATCATTATAATGTTTTCAAGTGATTTTAGAAGTTCCAGTTTTTCGGCCTTGCACTGTGAGGATATTTTGTAATGATTGAATAATACCGAGTAGAATGTTAGTGATTAATTACGGTAGTTCTCTGTAGTTATCTAGTTTGATGGTTGAAGGGGTAGTGAAGATAGCCGTGGGTGGAAAGCAGTCGTAATTGGTTATATAGGTAGTTGGTGATGGTAGTTTAACTAATTGGTAAGATAACAACCTTTGCCAGCCGCCGTCTCTTGTGAACTGAGATCTGACGAGTTCGTTGCTGTCTGGGCATCTGGCCACCCAGCAAACAGAACTTCACATGAGCCCTAATGATGGAACTTGCAATACACATACGGGTATGGGACGGACACACACACACACACACACACACACACACACACACACACACACACACACACACACACACACACACACACACACACACACACACCACAGAGCTTATCTTGATTTGCGGTCGTGCTTCTGACGACGTACCATAACTGTCCAGACACTAAACCAATATGTCGCAGGACGCTCTTCGCGAAGGGAACTATCAGGTCCTCTCACCTGATACTTCCCTGCCCATCAGAGGTGATTGGTTGAAGCTGTTGTGTTTGTATTGTGTCTCCATATCCCAGCTCCTCAGTTGCCTTCATATCCAAGCTCCTTGTCCTCATATTCCTTGTAAGTACCATAAAGTCGTTTTAACACCAACCTGGCCTAATAAGTTGCGTTATTTACGTTATGGTAACCAACATGTCAAATACATCCTACTATGAAAGGTAGCTGATATATATCCACGTTTGTTATGCACCGCTAGGTTAGGTTAGGTTAGGTTAGGATATGTTAGGTTAGAATAGGGTAGGTTTGGATAGATTGGGTAGGTTGTTTGGGTTCTCAAGTGTCTGCCTAGGTTAGTAGGCTGGGTTTTGTACGTTGATCAAATGCAGAGAACGGGCTGAAGGCCTAATTCTCTCTCTCATATATTTAGGATTCTCTGCGCTCTTTGCATCTACCTGTTAGGATTGAATGCATTCCATAACACTGTATTTATGATTCAAATGTTCTTTACTTCTCCCGGCCCTAACCTGGCGGCCATTCTAGATTGGAACTCGACCTTGTGTCAAGATGAGGGCGTGGGCGTCGATGCGGGCGTGGACGCCAATACCACTGTGGGCGTGATGGCGTCAGACGGGGGACGGGAGAGTAGGCGCGGCTGGCAGAGCATTAGACAGGAGCTGCAATGGGCTTTCCCCGTCCATATATACGGGTTCGCCTGTCTCTTCTTCATGCTGGCGTTCTACACTTTCTTCTCCATTCTCAACCTGAGGTGAGTCTTGTGTGTGTGTGTGTGTGTGTGTGTGTGTGTGTGTGTGTGTGTGTGTGTGTGTGTGTGTGTGTGTGTGTGTGTGTGTGTGTGAGGTATAGTTTTGTCTAAGAATATGTTATTAAAGGCAAAGTAGCCCCCCTCTACACAACCCAAACTTGAAATCAAACTCAATAATTCTTAAGTTCCAAACGATTCTTCACTCCAAAGTAAAGCCTCACAGTTTGGCTTTTGAGTTACTTGTGAGGGGAAACTATGGACACCGTGGGAGCCTCTCCTCCCATAATGGCTGCGGGAGAGCTAACCGAGTTAAGAGTGGTTAGTGGCTGGGAGGAAGTTGTAGTGAGAGTATTATTTAATTATGCAGGGAGGGAGAGAGAGAGAGAGAGAGAGAGAGAGAGAGAGAGAACTTAACGACAGGATGTCAATGAGATAAGCATAAATATTAGGTCAGATGAGCCGCACCCTAGGAGTGAGAGCCGCACCCTAGGAGTGAGAGCCGCACCCTAGGAGTGAGAGCCGCACCCTAGGAGTGAGAGCCGCACCCTAGGAGTGAGAGCCGCACCCTAGAAGTGAGAGCCGCACCCTAGGAGTGAGAGCCACACCCTAAGAGTGAGAGCCGCACCCTAGGAGTGAGAGCCGCACCCTAGAAGTGAGAGCCGCACCCTAGGAGTGAGAGCCGCACCCTAGGAGTGAGAGCCGCACCCTAAGAGTGAGAGCCGCACCCTAGGAGTGAGAGCCGCACCCTAGGAGTGAGAGCCGCACCTAGAAGTGAGAGCCGTACCCTAGGAGTGAGAACCGCACCCTAGACTCTAGAGGTATGAGACAATGTTTCTCACCTTAAAGGGTGAGAAACAAAGTGGACTTCACTTTGTGGAGGGGAGTCACAGTGACGTCAGTGTGAGAATGGGTTACTTCAGATGTAGTGTGAAGGTCACTCATGTGACCTTCGGTACTCATCTGGTAGTTACTCATCTAGTTGTGCTTGCGGGGAGGGTTGAGCTTCGGCTCTTTGGTCCCGCCTCTCAACTGTGAGGTGGTGTTTGATCGGTGGATGTTGTGACAAGTCGGTTCATGTGTTGCTTTAGGTGTTGCACTACATGTTGTTGTGATGTGTAGTACGGGTGTTGCAGGTTTTGTATAGCCATATGTATTATGGATTAGTATTATGTGCTTTTCCCCCCACCCACCACCCCCTCCTCTCCCCTACTTTTCTCCAATCTCTATCTCCCTCTTTTACGTTCCTTCTACATTCTCTCCTCACGTCTCTCTTTGTTTTCTCTCTCTTACTCATTCAAGTTTGTATGCACTTGCGGGAGGAAAGCAGAGGAGAGAGAGAGAGAGAGAGAGAGCGGACACTGACCCCTGAGATTAATATCTCACAACTGTTAAGAAGACTTCAAAGTTGCGTCTGTGTCTCACTTCTAGCAACAATTCCCCTCCCTTCCTTCCTTTCCCCATTCTCTTTCTTGCTTCCTATTCCTCCTCCTCTTCTTCTCTAAGGATCTTGGGAGACGAGAACACGCACTTCAGGTATGGTCAGGTGAGGCATGCATGCTGTGTAGTGTCTTCGTCTCGTGTTAGAGTGGAGCTTATTGAAGCACACACACACACACACACCTGCCTTGAGACGCTACTCCAAAGTTACCTCTCTTGTTTTCCTGTTTGATAGCATCTGACTCATTCTATATTAGATAGTCATTTGTTTCATTTTCCTGACGTTTAGTCTTCCAGACGTTTATTTTTCCTGACGTTTAATTTTCCAGACGTTTAATTTTCAAGACGTTTAATTTTTCAGACGTTTAATTTTTCTGACGTTTAGTTTTCCACGCGTTTATTTTTCCAGACGTTTAATTTTCAAGACGTTTAATTTTTCAGACGTTTAATTTTTCAGACGTTTAATTTTCCAGACGTTTAATTTTCCAGGCGTTTAATTTTCCAGACGTTTAATTTTCCAAACTTTTAATTTACCTGACGTTTAATTTTCCAAACTTTTAATTTACCTGACGTTTAATTTTCCAGATGTTACCCCAAACACATTAAATCCCTTGTTTTTATATTCTTAGTTCCACTTATAAAGGTATTCGTTGAGTGGACATTAAGATAGCAGCCGATGATTACATACCCGACGCCCTTTTACAGTAGATAGAATATGTGAGAGCTGTACAAATTTTGTAATTTGTGGAAGGCGAGTCTGTAACGTCCTGTAACGTCTCAGCATGACCACAGCATGTTCACGTGACGGCTGAAATATCTGTACTTCCTTCTCCACGCATGTTTATGAATGAATAATTACATAGATTAATAACATGAGTTCTGCAATAGAATGATTCGTAATGGAATAGCTGTTGTTATTAACACTTACTGACTCATGGCCATCTCTCTCTCTCTCACTCTCTCTTCCACCTTCTTTTCTCCCCCTCCCTTCACCTTCCTTTCTCTTTCCCTCCTTTTCCTCTTCCCTATTCTTTTCCAGGTCACAAATATCCAACCGTCCATTCATGTCGACCATCAACGTGTTCTTGTGCGTCTTGGGGGTGACCAGGGCCGCCTGCTTCCTCATCGACCCCTACACCTTGGGCCAGGTAAGGTCACTTTTCTCTTGACGACTCACAGAAGGAACTAAAATGAACATAATCGGTACAGCGTGTCTTAGTGACCTTTCAGTGGCCTTCGTAACCCTCCAGAAGTAGTAGCAATCCTCCAGATGCTTTCGTAACCCTCCAGAAGTAGTAGTAATCCTCCAGACGCTTTCGTAACCCTCCAGAAGTCCTTATAATCCTCAAGACGCTTTCGTAACCCACCAGAAATCCTAGTATCTTCCAAAGGCCTCAGTGACCTCCCCTCTGAAGCCCTAACCCCTTCCAGAGGCCTTAATGACCCCCCTCAGAAGCCCTAGTTCCTTCCAGAGGCCTTAATGACCCCCCTTAGAAGCCCTAGGCCCTTCCAGAGGCCTCAATGACCCTTCAGAAGCCCTAGTTCCTTCCAGAGGCCTCAATGACCCCCCTCAGAAGCCCTAGTTCCTTCCAGAGGCCTTAATGAACCTTCAGAAGTCCTAGTCCGTTCCAGAGGCCTCAATGAACCTTCAGAAGTCCTAGTCCCTTCCAGAAGCCTCAATGAATCTTCAGAAGTCCTAGTCCCTTCCAGAGGCCTCAATAAATCTTCAGAAGTCCTCGTCCCTTCCAGAGGCCTCAATAAATCTTCAGAAGTCCTAGTCCCTTCCAGAGGCCTCAATGAATCTTCAGAAGTCCTAGTCCCTTCCAGAGGCCTCAATGAACCTTCAGAAGTCCTAGTCCCTTCCAAAGGCCTCAATGAATCTTCAGAAGTCCTAGTCCCTTCCAGAGGCCTCAATGAACCTCCAGAAGTCCTAGTCCCTTCCAGAGGCCTCAATGAACCTCCAGAAGTCCTAGTCCCTTCCAGAGGCCTCAATGAACCTCCAGAAGTCCTAGTCCCTTCCAGAGGCCTCAATGAACCTTCAGAAGTCCTAGTCCCTTCCAGAGGCCTCAATGAACCTTCAGAAGTCCTAGTCCCTTCCAGAGGCCTCAATGAACCTTCAGAAGTCCTAGTTCCTTCCAGAGGCCTTAATGACCCACCTCAGAAGCCCTAGTTCCTTCCAGAGGCCTCAATGACCCCCCTTAGAAGCCCTAGGCCCTTACTGAGGTCTCAATGACCCTTCAGAAGCCCTAGGCCCTTACTGAGGCCTCAATGACCCTCCAGAAGCGATAATAACCTCCCGGAGGTCCCGATAACCCACCATAATCCCTAATTACCCTTTTGAGGCCTTAATCGCGATCCAGAGGTTGATACGCATCGAATCCAACAAAAAATATTAAATAAAATCAAATTGAGCGTCATGATTCCCATAGTTTTGGACACGCTTTAACCGCACCTGTCAATTATACGCACCTGTCAATTATACGCACCTGTCCATTATACGCACCTGTCCATTATACGCACCTGTCCATTATACGCACCTGTCCATTATACGCACCTGTAAATTATACGCACCTGTCCATTATACGCACCTGTCAATTATACGCACCTGTTAGTTGGCGGAAAGGGGGAAGAGAAAGTTGACGATAAAGGTATGGGATGAAGATAGGAAATTGAGAGGTGAAAGAGTGGACAGGGATCGGATGTTGAGGGTCAGGGCATGGATGGAAGATAAGACGTTAAGGATGAAAGAATAAAAGAGAATCAAGAGTCGAGATGAAAGGATGGAAGAGGAGAGAAACATGAGGTAATCAGGAGTAAGAAGATGCAATGATCGGTAATTGAGATAAATTGAGAAGAAGAAGCAGAAGAAAGCTTCAAGATCAACAACAGTTGAGACAGAACGCAAGATACCTTGAATAACGAGTTGAGAGAGAGAGAGAGAGAGAGAGAGAGAGAGAGAGAGAGAGAGAGAGAGAGAGAGAGAGAGAGAGAGAGAGAGAGAGAGCCAGACAGAGAGCCAGACAGATTGTGATTGAGATACAACATATTGTATGCACGTTGTATTTTGTGGCGTGGTGTGCCACTCCACAAATGTTGACTTCATCACCGGCCCCGCGAGCCAGCACCTGTTGCACCCGCCTGCAACACGGTATCATAATGTCTTAATTAACAGACACACTCTCTGCAACAATATGATAAATCGGAAAGTAAATGAAATTCAAGCTGTATAATTAGGCATTCCGGAACGTAAATTATATATATTCCGAATAACCAATAAACTTGAAATATGCGCTGCTTATCATCCGCATTATGCTTAAAATATATAATATATATATATATATATATATATATATATATATATATATATATATATATATATATATATATATATATATATATATATATATATATATATATATATATATATATATATACAGACAGACCCACTCATGCCTCACATTCTGCCCCCCTGCAACTGAGCTTTAGTAGAACCATTAAAGTTGCATAAATCACCTGGACTTGACAAGGTATTTACTAGACCTGAAATTATGTAAAGATAAGCTTTGTTAACCCTGGTTTTGAACCTGTAATATAGTATTAGAGGTCGAGGAGTGTTGTAGTTAACTAGGGGTGAAAATGTGGTACTTAAGCTGAACAAATACAATTGAACTGATCATTTGGATAATTAATTAAATGTTGTGGAATATTTTATTGAAAAAGTATTTATAATTGCAACGTGTGACTTTACTTAGGTTAGTTATGGTTCATATATTGCTTCCTCTAGCTCCTGGGTCCCCGCCTCGGCTAGTAAAGCTTCGTAGGATATCCTATAAATTATCAACGTTCACCACTCTCCTGATGTTGGCGTTCTCGACTCTCACCTCTGTCTTGGTCCTGGTATTCTTGCCGTTCAAGACGTTCTTGTCATTATCCTGCCGTTCTTGTGTCTGATTATCCTCCCTAGCCTGCCGGGGAATCCACACATGGCTCCAGCAACACTCCAGAAGGCAGGATATCCGAGAGTGGATTGGTTCGACCTTGAATCAATAAAGATAAAGTTAATTCGGTGTTGAATTGGCGTTGCTCTTGGATATCCTGCCCGCAGGAACTGATCTGCTGAATCAAACTCATACCTTCACTATCCTGTCGCGGTTGGAGGCTTTGAGGGACGGGTCTTGCCTTCTCTGATACTCATACCAGATGAGTGAAATCACCCATACCATATGGGTGACTTCTCAACCGTCGACTCTCCTTCTTGGCGGGAAACGAGTTGCCATTGCAACGGCTGTTAATGCTCCTGGTCACGTGACTACCTCATGTTGCATCTTGATTTTCTAAATTGGTTGAGAAAATCTCGTTGCGATCACATTTGATCACTTCTGGAGACCCTTTGACTCGTATATCATGTTGCAAAAGTATCCTGCTACTTCCCCATTCCTCTCTCTCTCTCTCTCTCTCTCTCTCTCTCTCTCTCTCTCTCTCTCTCTCTCTCTCTCTCTCTCTCTCTCTCTCTCTTTATCACCCTGTTACTCATGTCGCATGCAAGGGGTTTTCCAATTTTGTGTCCAACTGCTGTACATATTTCCCGGCACAAATAGAATATTGCGAAAGCGACGTTGAGTTCTGGAATTTATTTGTAAATACATAACAAATTTGATGCAGCTCCTTGTCAAATCTTCCTAACGTGTTGCAGAGTCGATAATATTTGTGATTCCGTTGACAGAAGTCCTGGCTTGATGAAGTGCAATCGTCCACACACACACACACACACACACACACACACACACACACACACACACACACACACACACACACACACACACACACACACACAAAGAGTGCTGGGTAGACGGGACACCACGAGCGTAGCTCTCATTCTGTAACTACACTTAGGTAATTACACTTAGGTAATTACACTCATGGACTAACCAAGGGATTGGCAACCCCCCCCCCTCCGTTTACTCAAACCATGTTGTCAAGCACACAGAAAGATTAGTTTCTAGAATTGTAGAATTTTCTGGAATTTTCTGGAAGTAGAGGCGAGTGAGCTGCACAGCAGGTCAGCGCAGCTGCGTCACAGTCAGTACAGCTGCGTCACAGTCAGCACAGCTGCGTCACAGTCAGTACAGCTGCGTCACAGTCAGTACAGCTGCGTCACAGTCAGTACAGCTGCGTCACAGTCAGTACAGCTGCGTCACAGTCAGTACAGCTGCGTCACAGTCAGTACAGCTGCGTCACAGTCAGTACAGCTGCGTCACAGTCAGTACAGCTGCGTCACAGTCAGTACAGCTGCGTCACAGTAAGCAATTTCGGCAGCAAAATTGTCAGTCAGTTGGTCAGCCTTTTTCCTGATTGCAGGTTGCAACAGTTCTCATCTTTCCGTCGCAGCGGTGGGCGTGTGTCCTCGGATGACTATCCGATCGTTAACCTCTAACCACCAAACCTCCAATCCAACTATTCCGGATAAAAGTTTCTGACTCTTGTTTCCTATTCCCACTGAGATATTGATTCCCAGTTGTGAACTTATTTCTGTTGACAACAGCCTCGTCTGCGGATGTCTGTGTTGCGAGGAGGAAAATGTCTTTTGTACTTGATCAAAGCTCTTGTGTGTGTGTTCTCAGTGACCATCAGTCATCATTGATGACGATGACCACATGGGTCCACTTCAGGAATGTAGTTTGATGCCATTGGTGGATATTTTGCTAGGCTATTTCGCGTCATCCTGAAACAAATCATTCCATTGTGATGCAAATAGCTCTTGAGTGGAGAGCTGACCAGATTCCATTGTCCTTTGGTTGGGGTTGGGGGAATTGACTTACCACTCTGATCGGTCTGGATATTCAGTGTAGTGCAGACACCCCTGATTGTTTGACGAGTTAACACATCCCAGAGCAATTGGTAATTGGCAATTCCTGCCTGTAGGTCAGTTATGACAAGATCAAGAGGTGAGGCCCAGCTATGAGATAGTGTCATGGGTGTCAATCATAGAGTTGATTGGGCAGGCACCCTGCCATTGAGGAATGTATATTGTAGTGTTGCACTGTTGCATACCTGCTAGAATGAAGATTCTAGCACACAGTGTGTGTGTGTGTATGTGTGTGTGTGTGTGTGTGTGTGTGTGTGTGTGTGTGTGTGTGTGTGTGTGTGTGTGTGTGTGTGTGTGTGTGTGTGTGTGTGTGTGTGTGTGTGTGTGTGTGTGTGTGTGTGTGTGTGTGTGTGTGTGTGTGATGGTCAACACTGGTAGTGAAGACATCACACTAGACCCACCCGAGTCAGTGTGATCAGTGTGGCGAGACATTCCCCTGAAGGCCACCACCACCACCCACGTCTCCTTGACGTCACTGCAGTGAGTGATGTCACTCCACATCGCACAGGATGCACGGTGATACAGTTTTGAGACGATAACGCTGTGTGCTGATGTTGCCTTACCTAGGGCAGTGGGGGAGTGACTTCACTCCTCACCACCAGTTACATCGTTAGCTGATGTCGTCATGGATGATGTTACAAACCAAGTGATGTCTCGCTATGGATGATGTCGCAAGCCAGGTGATACTGCATTTTGAATGTCAACAATGAGATGACGATGTGGTACTGGTTTCAACACATGGATGACGTTACAGTAGTGGTGAAACCGGAGTTAAGGTGACGTTACAGCTTGGAGGATGACACTTGCCGGATGAGGTGTCATGATGACAGTGGCAACAATGACCACATCTGATATTAACACCTACCGGGAGTGCTAGCCTATAGCTATTGGCAACAGTGCATGAGAGAGAGAGAGAGAGAGAGAGAGAGAGAGAGAGAGAGAGAGAGAGAGAGAGAGAGAGAGAGAGAGAGAGAGAGAGAGAGAGAGAGAGAGAGGGAGAAGAGAGAGGAGAGAAAATATTCTTTTTCTGGTCCTGATTACAAAGGATTTTATAAAATTGAATGAGTATTGATATGTGGTTTTATGTACGATTCGACGTAATTGTTTGTTTGTGTGTGTGTGTGTATTCACCTAGTTGTGCTTGGCAGGGTTGAACTCTGCTCTTTCGGCCCGCCTCTCAACTGTCAATCAACTGTTACTAACTACTATTTTTTCCCACACCCGACACACATCCTCAGGAAGCAGTCCGTAGCAGCTGTCTAACTCCCAGGTACCTATTTACTGCTAGGTAACAGGGGTGAAAGAAACTCTGTCCATTTGTCTCTGCAGGCCCCGGGAATCGAACCCAGGCCACAGGATTACGAGTGCCGCGCGCTGTCCACTCAGCTACCGTTCCCCACTGTGTGTGTGTGTGTGTGTGTGTGTGTGTGTGTGTGTGTGTGTGTGTGTGTGTGTGTGTGTGTGTGTGTGTAAACCTGCAGTCATCACCCACAGCTCATGAAAGTTAGGCAGTGAGTCAGGTTTTGGCAGGATATCCAGCAAGTCTGAGGCTGTGTAAACGAACAGTTGAACTATTAGTAAACACGCCCCACACGAGTTAATATTTCACCACGTTTCTCTTCTCTTATTTTGGTTAAAACTGAGTTTTTCCTTCTTCTTCTTCTTCTTCTTCTTCTTCTTCTTCTTCTTCTTTATGTTTCGTTCTGAGTTTAAGTTTTATCAGGCGTGAGCTGTAGTTCTACACCCATCGAGTATCTCTTAAACCGATCTTTCTCTTCTCAACACCCTACCGAACACCCAGGAATATCCCCTCTACACCCACTGGTTATATCTCTACACCCACTGGTTATATCTCTACACCCACTGGTTATATCTCTACACCCACTGGTTATATCTCTACACCCACTGGTTATATCTCTACACCCACCGGTTATATCTCTACACCCACTGGTTATATCTCTACACCCACTGGTTATATCTCTACACCCACTGGTTATATCTCTACACCCACTGGTTATATCTCTACACCCACTGGTTATATCTCTACACCTACTAAGCTCATCTACACATAACAAGTCACAAGACAACACAAGGCTCTCTACCTCACTTACATTCTGACACTACTCGTCAAACTAGGCCACTTACAACATCAATAAGTCTCTGAATGCAACAAATCTTTCTTCAATGATCAAATTTCTCTACATTCAACAAGTTTCTTCAGCAAGTTTCTCTACATAAGAACATAAGAACTGCAGAAGGCCTATTGGCCCATCCGAGGCAACTCCTATTATATCCACCCAAACTCATTCATATACATGTCTAACCTTCGCTTGAAACAGTAAAATGATCTCACGTCTATTGTGTTACCCGGAAATCTGTTCCACAAATCAACAACCCTCGTATCCAAACCAATAGTTACCCAGCTCATTTCTAAATCTAAAATTGTTCTGTGTATATCCATTGTTTCGTCCTGTAGTGTGTGTGTGTGTGTGTGTGTGTGTGTGTGTGTGTGTGTGTGTGTGTGTGTGTGTGTGTGTGTGGGGCTGGTAACCATGACAACCTCTCCTTGGTGTTGCAGGTGATGCCTGGGTTTCTAGGGTCGGTGATGTGGGATGTGGGCTACCCCTGCATCCTCTCTGCCTTCAGCCTCATCCAGCTCGCCTTCTCTCAGCTCACTCAGGTGACTCCCATCATGGTTTTGTCTCAGCTCACAGCGGTAAGTCCTCAGCTCACAGCGGTTGGTAAGTCCTCACCTCATAGTGATAAGTCCTCACCTCACAGTGATAAGTCCTCACCTCACAGTGATAAGTCCTCATCTCACAGTGATAAGTCCTCACCTCACAGCGGTAAGTCCTCACCTCACAGTGATAAGTACTCACCTCACTGTGATAAGTCCTCATCTCACAGTGATAAGTCCTCACCTCACAGCGGTAAGTCCTCACCTCACAGCGGTAAGTCCTCACCTCACAGCGGTAAGTCCTCACCTCACAGCGGTAAGTCCTCACCTCACAGTGATAAGTCCTCATCTCACAGTGATAAGTCCTCACCTCACAGCGGTAAGTCCTCACCTCACAGTGATAAGTCCTCACCTCACAGTGATAAGTCCTCACCTCACAGTGATAAGTCCTCATCTCACAGCGGTAAGTCCTCACCTCACAGCGGTAAGTCCTCACCTCACAGCGGTAAGTCCTCACCTCACAGCGGTAAGTCCTCACCTCACAGCGGTAAGTCCTCACCTCACAGTGGTAAGTCCTCACCTCACAGCGGTAAGTCCTCACCTCACAGCGATAAGTCCTCACCTCACAGCGGTAAGTCCTCACCTCACAGTGGTAAGTCCTCACCTCACAGCGGTAAGTCCTCACCTCACAGCGATAAGTCCTCACCTCACAGCGGTAAGTCCTCACCTCACAGCGGTAAGTCCTCACCTCACAGTGGTAAGTCCTCACCTCACAGCGGTAAGTCCTCACCTCACAGCGATAAGTCCTCACCTCACAGCGATAAGTCCTCACCTCACAGCGGTAAGTCCTCACCTCACAGTGGTAAGTCCTCACCTCACAGCGGTAAGTCCTCACCTCACAGCGATAAGTCCTCACCTCACAGCGATAAATCCTCACCTCACAGCGGTAAGTCCTCACCTCACAGCGGTAAGTCCTCACCTCACAGCGGTAAGTCCTCACCTCACAGTGGTAAGTCCTCACCTCACAGCGGTAAGTCCTCACCTCACAGCGATAAGTCCTCACCTCACAGCGGTAAGTCCTCACCTCACAGTGGTAAGTCCTCACCTCACAGCGGTAAGTCCTCACCTCACAGCGATAAGTCCTCACCTCACAGCGGTAAGTCCTCACCTCACAGCGGTAAGTCCTCACCTCACAGTGGTAAGTCCTCACCTCACAGTGGTAAGTCCTCACCTCACAGCGGTAAGTCCTCACCTCACAGCGATAAGTCCTCACCTCACAGCGGTAAGTCCTCACCTCACAGTGGTAAGTCCTCACCTCACAGCGGTAAGTCCTCACCTCACAGCGATAAGTCCTCACCTCACAGCGATAAATCCTCACCTCACAGCGGTAAGTCCTCACCTCACAGCGGTAAGTCCTCACCTCACAGCGGTAAGTCCTCACCTCACAGCGGTAAGTCCTCACCTCACAGCGGTAAGTCCTCACCTCACAGCGGTAAGTCCTCACCTCACAGCGGTAAGTCCGTTATTGTGTTGGTATCCTCAGCTCTTTAGTGATTCGCACTAATATTGTGAAGGAAAAATTGAGGCAGTGAGATGGGATCGATCTCGCGTCTCTGAACTCACCTGCAGGGATGCGGGTTCCATCCCATTATTTTATACTGTACGTTGTGTGTGTGTGTGTGTGTGTGTGTGTGTGTGTGTGTGTGTGTGTGTGTGTGTGTGTGTGTGTGTGTGTGTGTGTGTGTGTGTGTGTGTGTGTGTGTGTGTACGTTTTCCCTGTGCACAGAGTGTCGTCTTACAAGTGTGGTTTTAAACGACGTTAACTGCTCAATTGCTTTGTTGTATTAACTTAGTAAACAGACAGTAAATAGTAACAGTAACTTAGTAATAGTAACTTAGTAGACAGTAAATAGTAACTTGTTATTGATTACCTTACAACTAATTCTTCAGAGGTTAGGTTAATGGCTCTTGGAGATATTTGTGAGGGCTCTCGGGGGGGGGGGGGGGGGGGGTTGTTACCTACTGGACTCAAAAAGGCGCTTTTAAGACTTTTGTAGCTTTTTTAAGTACCTCATGAGAGTATCTTCAGAGCTGTCAGAGAGGCTTTTAAAAGGATCTCAGGAAGTAACTTTAAGGCTCAAAGAGGTACCTTAGGATTTTGGGAGGTAACGTTTGGGCTTCCTGAAGTACTTGTAGGGTTCTTGGAGTTCCTGGGCTTCCATAGACAGCTCTGAGTATCACTTCATCACTAACAAAGTTCCCCCGAGTCCTGCCCCAACTCTAATCTACGTATATATATATATATATATATATATATATATATATATATATATATATATATATATATATATATATATATATATATATATATATATATATATTCAAAAACTCTTCCTAAATCTCTATATCCTTATAATTTTTAGTCTTCTATGTTATTTCGATTAACATATGCAAAAGTATTAGTCAGTTTCTTAGATATAACTCGTCTTCCCCGTATAATGGAATTTTCCTTTTGCCTATAATTGGAAATGGCTGTTATCTCCTCTTCGTTAAACGTGGCATAGATTTGTAGGAATCTATGCCACGTTTATCTTCGTATGATGTGTAATGGAGTAAGAACAGCCGGGATCTCGTTAAATAGCTTGTCTCCGAGTCGAGGATGTCCTTAAATAGCTTTCATCAGGGCCGGGGATATCGTTAAAGCTTGTCTCAAGACGAGTGATCTCGTTAAACAGCTTGTAAACTCAAGAACGGATACTACGCAAAAAAAAAGAGACAGTAAATCCTTCCCATAGACCTCGATAAACAATCCATGCGAATCTTAGTCGAGGATATTGAAAACCGTTGTGTGTGTGCAAGTTTGTATGAGAGAGAGAGAGAGAGAGAGAGAGAGAGAGAGAGAGAGAGGGGGGAGAGAGAGAGAGAGAGAGACCCACATAAGAGAATTGGCAGGCGAGGGAGTGGCAACGCGTTCGTACGTATTAAGGTGAGAGTTATGAAGACTTAAACTAAGGTCTGCGGGGCACAAGCAGATGACGCCTTGAGAGCATAGAAGGAAGCCTGGGAAGAGAGAGGGAGGGAGGGAGGGAGGGAAGGCATTGAGGGAAGCTTAGGTAGAGAGAGCAAGGCCAGGAGGCCGAGGACAAGGGAATCATAGCACGAAGTCGAGTTACCTGGAAGGAAAGCGTTTGAAAGGAAGAATGGGAAGTGCATTGAAAATTGAATAAACTATAGAGAGAAAGAGAGAAATAGAAACAATAGAAAAACAGAAAAAACTTCATAAACAAGGCTAAAGGATGAACGATAAGCAACAAGTGTCGATCACTTGTACGTGAAGGATTATATAAACAATGAAGGGAATTACCTGATCACCATCTGTAGTATTACCATATTCCTCATAACTAGGGAACAGTATTTCCGGCAGGGGTTGGGAGCTAGATCGGACGTAGTCAATTATTTCCAGGCACAGAGGGTAAGAAAAGGTAATTGGTTTCCAGGAACAGAGGGTAGGAAAAGGCACTTGATTTCCCGAACAGAGTGTGGGGGGGATTAGTTCCAGTTTACTCAGGTTCTTATTTTCTTGCAAAGCTCTCTTTAATTTTTACAGTATAGACTTTAATTTTAAGAGCTTTGAAAATATTCCTCCAAGAACAATCCTAGAGGCTCTCTCTCTGTCTGTCTCTCTCTCTCTCTCTCTCTCTCTCTCTCTCTCTCTCTCTCTCTCTCTCTCTCTCTCTCTCTCTCTCTCTCTCTCTCTCTCTCTCTCTCTCTCTCTCTCTCTCTGTATATATATATATATATATATATATATATATATATATATATATATATATATATATATATATATATAAAATAATCAATTATATTTATATTTATTGTATGACATAAGTCAACTATTATAGTTATTTCAACTTTACTTGCAAATAGCAATTAAAATTTGAATCAGCAAATAATTTAGTTTGCTTCGAAATTACTGAAATTGGATTTTTTCTCCAGTGCTGCGTTATGTGAGGATGTTTGTATGGGGATGTGATCAGGTGAATGATGTAGTGGAAGATGTTCCTTGATGTAATTAGCTAATGTGTATGTCCTTTCCTACTATACTTATCACCCCCTGAAGTGGGCGAGAGAAGCCTTAGCGAGACAGTCATTTGTCTTCCCAAGCACTACCCATTAGAGTAAGGGGGGTCTTAACCTTTACCAGACTCCAGAGCCCAACGGGATACCCAATATGTCCCCATAACCCTTATTCGTCGAAATCACCACCATTTCCAGTCCTATTGGCACAAGTATGACTTCAAAAGATGTGAGTGAGTCCCATAACCCCCAGTATTTGGTTGCCATATACACCATTATTTGGTTGCCATATCCACCATTATTTGGTTGCCATATCCACCATTATTTGGTTGCCATATCCACCATTATTTGGTTGCCATATCCACCATTATTTGGTTGCCATATCCACCATTATTTGGTTGCCATATCCACCATTATTTGGTTGCCATATCCACTATTATTTCGTTGCCATCCCCACTATAGGACATGAATAATTTTGCATTAGAGACTCCCCTATCAATACAGTCATACTCATTTATGATGACCACCTATTAGAGTGAGACGTCCCTCAGGTATTATAACCACCCATTAGAGTGAGACGTCCCTCAGGTATTATGACCACCCATTAGAGTGAGACGTCCCTCAGGTATTATGACCACCCATTAGAGTGAGACGTCCCTCAGGTATTATAACCACCCATTAGAGTGAGACGTCCCTCAGGTATTATGACCACCCATTAGAGTGAGACGTCCCTCAGGTATTATGACCACCCATTAGAGTGAGACGTCCCCCAGGTATTATGACCACCCATTAGAGTGAGATTCCTCTCAGTTATGTAATTTTTTTTTATATTCCCAATGATGCCATTATGTTCAAATCTTCCTTCTTCCCGAATTTGCAACTATGCAATATTCACGCTAATGACACCTTTATTATATCATCTATCC